CCACCCCCAATAGCCTACAAGCCATRTTTGGTGAAAACTTAAAGAAGACAAAAAATGACTTCCTAAAAGCAAAAAATATGGCTTTTTCTTGAGGCTTTTCCAAAGCAACTCAATGAAAGCAATTGAACCTACGGGTCCTTAATGAAGAGATAAAAAACCAACATTATATACAATATGTATATACATATATGAAGAGATGGCTATAAATAAATAATTTTATTGGTAAGGAAAATATTCATTAAAGCTAGAAAACAAAGATAAGACAACAAAGATTAACCATCGGAACTAATAGGACTAGACTCAGACTCTTAAGAACTACAAACAACCAATTAGGAGGAGAATGGATAAACCATCAAGAACAACCAACAATGATTAACCATTAGAACTAAAAGGCCCCTACTGCATAGATGGACCGCTTCATTACAAAACCTACTAACATGACTAAACTAAATGGATAAACCATCACAAAAATGTCTTATGTCCATGATTAAAAACATTAACTCCTTCTGTTAGGCAGTGTATGCCTTTAGCTCTAATAAGATTGATGTACATAAATATTTATTAGTAAATGAATAAAGTACATTATTGTTTCATGTTCTTATCAGCGTATTTTATGTGAATTACTCCTTAAATTGGACACTTATGAGGCTTGTGTTGGTTTAAAATGTTTTCAGTCATTGGATAGACTTAGGAAGTTTATCTTGACAAGACTAACACCGCTATACTGTTGAACTAGTGGAGCAACTTGTCTTAGTTGCTAGGGTTAGACCCCAAGTACAACTAGTGGGTGTTTAGAGGAAATACTAAATCCGAACCAATTTTTAGTTATGCCTTAGGCCTTGGAGATAGATGGACAAAACTGGAAAGTTGCACTTAGCCCCATACTTGATTATGATACTGCACTTGGACTGAGTTGTATTTTATGTGCTAACTAGTGAGATCCATCTAGGAACAAATACATGGGCATATTTGGTCAATTTGGAAAATTACCTGAGTGGGCGATCATAGTGATAGGACTAGCCATTTTGTCCGACAAAGTGAATATCAGGGTTTACACACTCTTTGATGGAAACCTAAACTTATAGTAGTAGATTTTGATTGTATTTGAAATCTGATTTGCAAATTGTATTTATATGCTATATTACAATTTTATGAAAAAGGTTTGCAAAAGGTCTTAATCCCAGGATCCATCCAAGCAGAGAGTGTGACTATATTTTACAACCAGGGAAGATGTCATTCCCTGTGGGTAGTGTTTTGATGATTATGGGCCGAGAGATTAGGTTAGGTGTAAAGACCATTACAGGACTAATTACCTGATGGGCTTTATCTTATATAAATCCATTATCCTTGAGTCTTCATAGGGTGGCTAAATCCATGGATCATTTATGTGTAAATGTTGGGCACAAACTAAGCCCAAGCTGATTAGGTCAAGGGTTCACTAATCAAAGTAGTGAATTCGGCCTAACCTCTTGTAGAGGTAGGGCCAAACACTTGTGGACTTGTATGAGAACTTTGTGGGTTCCATGACATACAATATTAAAGCTCAAAATGGCCATGCAACACCTTGGGACATGAACCATTAGAGAATACCTTCTAATTAGAAGGTGCAAGTCAAGTTGGGTTGGGTCGAGGTTAACCCTAACCCTATCCTAACTGTGGAACCCTCAATCGTAACACTAATTCAATAGGCTTGGGTTGGGTTCAGGTCGGCCCACTACAAGAATACCTTCTAATTAGAGGGTGCTAGTCAGGTTGGGTTGGGTCGAGGTTAACCTTAACCCTATCCTAGCTGTGGAACCCTCAATTGTAATACTAATTCAATGGGCTTGGGTTGGGTTCAGGTCGGCCTAACTTCTCTATTTTCTACCAAATGTTTTTTGTTTTCTAGGCTCAAAGGTTGAGGTCAATTCAGTTCAACATTATTATGTGATGGGATCTGCTTCTCACACCGACCTAACAGCCACATCCTATCGTGTATTGAGAACATCTCCCATGAATAATAACTTACAAGTATAGGAAATGTTCTTGATGATGTGTGACTGGAATATGCTGCAAGATCGATGTGAGGAATGCTCTTTGAGGAGCAGGTCCAGACTCCGTTAGTATATATAAAAATACATGGTTATTATGCTTTTAGAAGATTCTATCTTCAAACTTAAAATTGTTGACATGCATATACACATGCATGCATATAGATATATGAATAGATCATACATATATACATACATTAACGAAGTGCACATATACATATATACTACATGCAAAAATATTATATATATATATATATATATACTTATATACATAAATAAAATGTTTATATGATATTTATACGTAAAAATATAAAATTAAATTGGGCTCAGATTGAATTATTGGCAAAGGCCTCAACCCTAATCCAACCTGAAGTTAAATTGGGTTCATACTAAACCCTAACTTCAATCCAACCCTAACTGCTAGCCCGGCCAAGTTGCAGTATTATTTCTACTGCTACTCGCATTTAGATAATGAGGATATTTGTGAAGAAAACAGAAAGATGAAGAATATTTTTCATAATTTTTTAATACAGTGGTCTAATCCCTCCCTACGGCTGTGTTTGTTTTGCTAAAACAAGAGTGAATCAGAAGGTTGAAGGAAATTCTTCCCTTGTAATTTCTAACACAACCTAATGGTATCAACGCGCGGTAAGTAAGTATGGCTGATAAAAAGGACGCTATAAAACTCAAGCTAAAAGCCAAAGGAGCAGTTTAGAGAAGCTTCTCACAGACAAAAATTCCTGTCCTTTCTTAGAAAGCTCCTACTTCCTTCTTTTAGTTGCTCTGCATGAAGAAATGGTCTTGTATGTATCTTCTTATTCATTACAAAAGCACCCATGGATATAAAATATTTTAAACATCCTTTTACTCATCTCTGCTTCAGTTTAGGAAATACTCATTTGAAAGTTTGTTGCATTGTCTCTTGGATTCCTGTGCTTTCTATTTGGCATAGAACATTTAGGATCTTTTTGATTTGCAGTTGGAATCGGAATTGGAATTAGAATTGACTATAATGGATTCCTATTCTCAAAGGAGAGGGAGAGACATTCCCTTCAACTGGAAGAATGCCATCCAACTAGGAATATGAATCAAATGCTGACTCCATCCAACCAAACGATTGGGATGAAAATGAACCATTTCAATTCTATTCTAGGCACTATTCTTATGAACCAAACGGACCCTTAATTGCGTATATACCATTGTATTCTAATCTTATGAATTTATAATCTATCATTTTGGGCGATTGCATAATGCATACCAACCGAAGAATGGTTGTGGGTTTTCTCAAGCAAAAGCCCACGAAAGACTTGCTACGATGATAGTGGAAATCAGACCAACCATCCAATAAGGCCCATTTGGATTAGTCAAATCACACATCACACTATGGCTTTGCGATAGCGTCGTTCTCCGAGTGGTTGTACTTTTTTATAGCACTCGCAGTCGTAGCTTCCTCGAAACAGTGCCTTCTTTTTTGCCACGTATGGGCGTACGACAAAGTTGGCAATTGGGCAGATTTTAGTCTTGTTAGAACGTGTGGACCTGTTCTGAACCGACACCACGGCTCTGACGTGTAAACACTATGATTGATATTATCAGTTGAGTGGCACGAGCAAATGCACGTGTAAATGGAAAGAGAAGACACAGTGGAAAAAAATAAGTGGATTTATTCGGTTAAATTATTTGGTTGTGAAGCCCTTTTGGGCTGTGTTTGGTTTGATAGGAAGTAAGAAAAAAACAGAAAATCAAGGAAAACTTTTATGGGAAAGTTTGTGACATTYCTTAAGAACTTCCTCTCAACTTTTCTGTTTATTTATTTTTTCCTTATTTTCCCTACCTAACCAAATACAGCCTTGGGTTTAATTAAGCGAGTTGGATTAGTTATTCACCATGTGATCCGGATCAAGTCAGAAGGGCTCACTACGATGTAGGAGATCATTCTTTCAAAATTATAATGTTCTCCAATAATTATATTTTTTGTTTTTGAGAATAAAAAGTAAGTTGATTTTATTTCAAAAATAGTTCAATTTCTTTTGTAACATTAGACTTATGGGTTTTAATACAAAAACAAGATACAATTTATAAAAAAATGATATCAAATCATTCAATGAATACATGTTTTTCAAACTAAAAGTTCAAGAAGGAATTTATTTTCCATGCTTTTTTTTTTAAATTTTACGAATCAATTCATTTTCAAACCAAAATGGTTTTCATTTATTTTTAGAATTCAAAGCGGAACAACTAATGGCGGTACTTGCTGTTTCTTCTCTAACACCATTTTCCATTTTCTAAGAAAACGATTGCTGCAAAAGATGCCATTTTCTCAGAAAATGGATTCTTTTGTTTGGGACCATTACTGTCACATAATGATGCATCAACATTTTATTACCAACAGCAGTAAAAAAGGACATTTTCTTCAAAAAAATGGCATCGGTTCCAAACATTCTTGGCCATGTCAGAACGAACGGAAATATAAATGTGTATCAGGTTTTTCTTTTTTGGGCCAATCTCACTTTACCCCATTTAATAAATTTGTATACTTTCAAACAATAACTAACAAACAATGGGAGAAATTAATGCCAAGACTAGCGATATATAATGTCATGACTCATGAGTGCAGCTTTTGGAAATTACAACCTTTTGATCTAGTGAAGCATGGGAATATGTGGTCTTTTAATTGGGATATGGAGGCCGGTTTATCAAAAAGGAAAACTAGGTTCGATTAAACCGGGTCCAATTAAAACAGAAATAAAAATCCAGCAAATTCTGGAGCAGGAGTGCAACTTTAGATTTGTTACGTACGTAACGCCGTGGACAAAGACAAACTACAAAGAAAGACACGATGGCAAATCTGATAATTTGATGGAATTAAGGGGCAATCGGAAATTCATATATTTTACACCGCAGGGATTCTGACCATTATAAAAGGAGCCAATCAACGTAGAAGAGATTTCTTATCAGTTATCTCTGCTCTGCTCTGCAGCAACTCCTTTTTATAATAATTCTTTTTTTTTTTTTTGGGCAAAATGGGAGCCCCGCAAATATTTTCCTCGTTTCAATCAATCCACAAATATAATTGACACTTGACAGACAAACAATAGAACATCATTCTTTGTTTGTTTACTCCTTTTTCAGGGATAGATAAGGTTTTGGGGTTTCTATCCTACCAAAGTTCAGTCTTTTTAATAAGAATTTCAGTGCGGATTTCTTAGAATTTTGATTAGGGTTTCTCTCTGGGTCTTTTCTGAAGTGGGGTTTTTGTATAATTGAACTAGAGGAAAGAAGAAGACCTTCTTCCTTTCCTTTTTTTTTTCATTGTATTTGCAGTTTTAAGTGATTTTGCCCTTTTAATGGTTTAATATCACTAGAGATTTATTGGCGTTTTTTTCTTCTTCTGCAATTCGACCAATAATCCATCCTTAAGCTGGTTGTCTGTTTTAGGGAAGAATTTGGACGAAATTGACTGATCCATTCATCCACTGGTTTCTCTCTCTGTTGATGCTTCTATCGCTTCCTTTCAACAATTCGATTAGGGTTGCAATTCGTATTCAAAGCTGGACGGCTTTGTCTGTTAGGGCATCTTTGATATTGATCTGGTTAATTCTTTCTTTGTGTTTGTTCGTTGAATCCGTCGAGAGACTCGAAACCATGAAGGTCCATCCCGCTCCCAAGAAGCGAAACATCACGTTTCGATACGACCACAATTCAAGCCTCTCTGAAGCCAACAGGATCATGAACAGGCAGAAGAAGCTGCGTCGACTTCCTCACATATTCAATCGGGTCCTGGAGCTCCCCTTTCGTTCCGATGCTGATGTCTCGGTTGAAGAGAATTCGGATTGTTTCCGTTTTATCGTAACCACCGATGATGTAGGCGACGATGTTAGAGCACACACGATCGAGATATACCCTGGAGTCACCAAGATTGTGATCAGGGGGACGAACGTTCTTGAACTGTCTTTGGACGAACTTGAGCTCGATCTATGGAGGTTTAGGCTTCCACCTACGACCAGGCCGGAGCTCGCTACCGCCGTTTACGTCGATGGGGAACTAATTGTGACAGTCCCAAAAGGTGCGAATGCTGACAACCCAGGTGGTACCAATGAGGAAGGGGAAGTTTGGGGGGAAGAAAATGGGGACCTCAGGGGAGGAGTTGGTCGCCTTGTCCTTGTACAGTAACGCCTTTCTTCCATTCCTGTGGCTTCAAAATGCAATTTCATTTAAGCTTGTTCATGGAACTCATTCTGTATGCTTTCTGGTTAAATTTAGAAATTGCCTTTAATTACTTGGGATGGTTGGCTCCATTTATTTTTCTTGAATTCTTTGTGGATGGTTTTAGTTCTGCCTCTGGTAAGCTGTTCGAATGACGTCTAGTTTTAATGCTTTTTAATTAATTTGATCTTCACAGTTGACATCACTCGGGAATCATTTTGTTTTGGACTTTAATCCTCTTACTTTTCTTAGAAGATAATGACATCTCTTGTGCTTTGCTTGCTGATTATTCATGAGTTTTTTTTTTTTTTTTTGGTATTTTAGTTTTTGAAAATCTGGTTTTGCCATGTGCCGGTGTTTGCACCACCAAGCAAAGCTCTTTTCAGAAGCTGTATCAGAGTGTTAATTTGGTGTTCTATACCAAGGTGAAGTTTACTTGTTTCATGGTTAACTGACACAGGCATATATTCTCCTGGTTGAGTTAGTGGGGGATGTCATCCTCTAAATTCGATAACCCAATTATGTTATTCTCCTTTGAGCCATTCACATATGCAAAGTTTCAAGTAGTTGATCACTGGCTTGTGCATTTCTTATGCTTTGACAGATCTGGCAATCATATCCTTTTTTAGGGCTGCAAACAGTATCTGATTGTCCGAATTTGAATTCAAATTGATTCTATGGAGGGTGATCTGAATTTGATCAGTTTATAATTGGATCAAATATGGATCCACCCCTATCAGAATCTCATTCTATTCAATCAATCAATCAATCTATATATAGGTTTATGTTTCATATGTGTAATTTTCAATTCATAAAAAAAGTAATTTTCAATTATTTTTATTCATAAAATATAATATCAAAGTCATTTTCAGCTCATTTTATTAATACTAATATGATATTTTGATCATTTTTAGTTTAATTTATTTATTTTATTCAATATTTGTTTGCAATCTGAATTTGATTTGAATCCGGCATAAATCCAATCAGAATTTGAATATAAACGAATCAAATTTGGATCTATCTATATCCGATCCAATCTGTTTGCAGCCCTAATTTTTCGTTTAGGGATTTATATTCCCCCACAGTACATACTCATTTGTCACTGGTTTTTCTTTAGCTTGCTGGAAAGTTTTTTGAGATGGAGATTTTCATCTGGGAGTTATATTTTTTCATATTTTTCTTAACATTGTACTTCTAGAATCAATGAAAAAATTTGTCATTCCTAGATAACTTTTCCATATGAAATAAGGGAAATGTTTCCAGCTTTGGAATCTCGAAATGATGTTCCCTGTTTGGGTGAATTTTGCAAGATATTTGTCCACCTTAATTTACTTTCTGCTGAATCAAATACATAGGAACATAAGAAAATGTTTTCCACGAGGACCAATTTTTGCTAAAAAAATCCTACTGAAAGTCGCTTATTTCAGTAGTTTATATGATTTACCTACACAGATATTATGCTTCCCATCAGATTTTATCTGTCTCATCCAAAGAATCCTACTGGTACCTGGTAGCTGTTTGCGTCTATTTAGCCTTATTATTTCTATTGCATTGCACAGATCAGTCACTTGAGGTTCAACCATACATTGTAAGTTTTTGATTCGTAGACATTTTGTGTCTGAGGATGGTTTACAAAAAAGCTCCCTCCTACTTTGTTGCTTCTCCAAGCACTGCTTGTTGCTGCTGGTGTTCACCAGTGTGTTTAAATTCTGGGTGCAGAGATTGCATTTCAAGTTTTCAACGACTCTGCCAAATCTGAATTATTTTGCTTCTATATGTGCAGTTAAATAAGTGCTCAAGTTTTATTATTTTTATTTTTTATTTTTTAATCGTAGACACTGTCTTCTGTGATGCTTACCTAATGTCTTCTCTTTTTATAGTAATTGCTTTTCATGTTTAAAATAAAAATTAAGAACACATTGGAATTTATTTTTGCCTTTTAAATGCAAGTAAATTTCTTGCTCTTTCTCTTTTATTGATTATTTTACCTTATCACAGTTGGAATTGAAAGAAACCATCGGCTTTGCCTGGGTTGTCATGGACTCAGGGGTCACTGTTTGATGTGTCTCAAAGAGCCTTTTAGGTTAAAAATCGTTAGTGATTATTGAATATAACATTCCTACTGTAGGACTGTGAGAGTTTTGATATCAGGGTATCTGCATGGTTGTATTTGTTATCAGATTGGGATTTCCACTAAACAAGCTGGAGGGGCCTTGCATGTGCATGAATAAATCAGGAGGTTGAGAAAGAAAAGCCATGTTGTACATTGATGATTGATGGTCTTTCTCAACATTCAGGAGAGTCCAATGCATCATTTCAACTGATGTATACTGATATAAGTTTGAATCTACTCAGCCATGTACTAGTTTGCAGCCTAACAGGAAATRCATATTAGCCTTTATGAAAAGGGAAACATACTAGAAGGGATAATTCTGAAGTTGGGGGATAGAGCTAAGGCAACATGAAGTCATGAACATTGAACATGGAATGAAGGGGGGGTTTCTCCTTTTTATCTTAAAGCATATGAATTATACTTCTTATTTTTTTTGATCAATAACACTTTCATTAAATCATCAATAGAAGATTTACAAGAGGAAGACAAACACACTTATCTTCCAAGAGCAACAAAGGATCTCAAGAAAAAGGAAAAAGCATTAAAGTTAGAGTTTAGCCCAAAACAGTGAATCCCTTTCTGCCCCTTGTTTAGCTAAACTATCAGTTAGGGACCACCACCTGCACCAGCCACTTAAATTTCCTCTTTTCATTGTTGTACTTCCATAAGCCATTGTTATCTTTATTCTGCCACCCTATTACCACCTCTGAATCCCCTTCAATTATGAGTTTCCTGATGTTCAACTCCTTAGCTTTTTGGATTCTTTTCATAATTGTAAAGATCTCAACTCTAAGGGAGTCACCCACTCCAATTGGGCTTGAGAATATGTCAGAGATGACCCCATTCTCATCCCTAAAAACACTCCCAATCCCCTATTGTCCCGGATTTYCCCTACTACATCCATCAAAGTTTAATTTCAAAATCCAACATGTGGAGGGGTCCAAGACACACTCATTATTGACTTGGTCTGTGTGCAATTTGCAATTTCACCCCACTTCATCAACATGTCATCCACAGTGTAATTTGTGAATAGCTCCAAAGGTTTCAGCCACAACCCTAATATGTATGATAGCCCTCATATTTGCTGTTCCTCTCTCAACTTCTGAGAATATCCTGGAATTTCTTTCTTTCCAAAGTGTCCAACATACTGTAGCCCTTAGTCCTCTTCACATAGTCCTTCTCCTTTTTATCCGCTAACTGAAAAAAGAAGGGGAAAAAAGGCCCTGCAAGTCTGATGGAGGATTCCAGTTACATCCAAATAGGGAGAAAGCCCAATCCCAAATTGACCTTGCAAGATAGCAAGACACCAGTATGTGAAAATCAGTCTCCCCATCTGCTTTACAAAGAACACACCAATGAGGTGACAAACGAGTATTGAGTCTCTTCTTTTGGAATAGATCACCAGTGTTGAATTATATTTTCTCTTAGAGGTTTTAGTCCTTCAGATGTCAACTTCCTGAACATCACACAGCTCAGCTTGGAACTTGTAAATAAGCTTGTGGTGGGGACATATTTTTGGCATTTGGCTTGTTTTGTCTTGATTTGGTTTCTATTGGAGGAAAACTGAAAAACTAAACCAAGGATCTAATGGTCGTAGTCTCGACACAATTCAACTACTACCAGTGGTGGGGACATATTCTTTCTACGCAATTCAGCTTTTATTGCCTTTAGGTTTTTTGTAGCACACTAGCACTTATATAAAGTGCTAGCATCGTCATTGAGCCATGTAACTAGCTAACTTGACGACGAACTTTCCACTGGATTAGCCTTCATCCTACTACCAGCCTACCGCTGCCAYGAGGGGTTTGTATCCTCCTATCAGCACGTGCACAGGGAAGTTCAACCAAGCTGCAGAATGGATTGCTGGACGGGTCAATTGAGAGAGTTGTGTGTTTTAATTTCGGCCTATGTAATGAATCTGAGTTTATGAATAATTTCGGCCTTTGTAGTTCCTTTATCTTCCTTTCTATCAAAAGACAGAAAAAAGGGTAAAAAAAGATACACTTGAAAGAATCTCGCAAAATCACAATCGGTTGATAAGGGCCGATTCATTTTTTCTTTTGAGCATATGGGCATGTGGGAATGCCAATGGTTCACCATCTATGTTGTTCCCAGAATTCCAACCCAAGAAGAAAGCATAACATTAGGAAGTCTTTCTTAGATTAGGAGCAATATATGAAAGATATGATGATCACCCTACATGGTTATTCTTCTCAATATCAAAATATATGATCTGATAGGTCTTATATTAGCAGATCAATTAATTAATAAAATATCAGCATTAGTATAAATAACTATTCTGGATGGTGATTTGGGGGGGAGGGGGGGGGTAAAGGTAAAATCTTGGGCTGACAAGCATAAGAATGTGAAGTTTGAATCTGAAAGCAGCCACTGTGTAAAAAGAAATGTAAAGGTTATGTCAATATGCATTCATTCCTCAAAGGCCCTGTGAATTATATTTCAAAAAATTTTATGTCATTAGATTAAGGTTTAAATTATGTTCATATTGCATCCGCATTGGATACATCAATATAAAGATCTTTTTGTAAATATTTAAAACTTTAAATTGATGGTTGAGACCTAATATTAAAAAAGTAAAAAAAAAGAGCACCAGTCATATCGATATGCACTGATACCCACTCAAGGGCATTGGGTGCATTGATATTTTAATCCTCGAGTAAGATTTAAACCTGGTCTTTCATATTAAAGATGTGAGAACTCACCATTAAATCATTTTATCATGGTGCAGTATTTGTTAAAATAATATAGGTTTTACATTATCTAACCCGTATACCACATTTATTCAAATAAATAATGTAATATATGAATATTCAATCAGAAAAGTTAAAAAATAAAGAAAAATAGATCATTAGTATCAATATTTTATGTATGGTAGTGAACTTCACATTGGTTTTCCAAGCATCTAAATACATATTTTACTTCACCATTTTTTTAGTTTTCCAAAGTGTATAGTTTACATCTCAAATAAACTATACAAATATTAAAATACGTATTCGTTTTATGCTTATACTTAATTTACAATCTTTTTAAGATTGATTCAGTTTTGGAATTTATGCATATCCTAGTCATTCCAATCCAAAAGTGCATCGCAATATGTATCTTTCAATTTTCCACCAACGTAAATATTGTATCTGAATCCGTTTGGGCCTTAAAATTAGTATTGTTGAAATTGTGAGATTTACTGAGTTTACCTACGTAATCCTAGTAATTCCAGAGTTTCAGGTATATCTATCGATTTCCTCTGTAGGGGACATCTCCCCATAACAAGTAGATGTTTCCAATGCACGGCTTGTTGGGATATGCTGTGGCCAGTGGGGAGCCAACACGAATTCAGTGCCTGCACACTCATTGTAACTTCTTACTTCCCAATGAACAAGACTTTTTTTGAAGGCGAACTACAGACACTTGTAAAGCAATGGAATTAAATCCAAAATTATCCCGTGAACCGCTTTTAATTTCCATCACTCATCTTCCTTTGTTTCACTGGGGGTCGCATGGGTGTGCTGCGAGCCTGTGACCACGGTCACAGAAGATGTTAACTAACTCTTCCAAGTCCCAATCCTCTTTGTCATACCGAAGCTTTGAATCTTGGCCATTATATTAACTAATTGACTGGGTCAGTAATAAAACTGAATGAAGAAAGAATGATTTAATACCCATTGACCAGAAAGATTAAGCTACATTCTTTTAAGTTACGCAGTGGTGAAGTAGCAGAAATCAAAATACTCTGCCCACCTTTTATAATATAAGGTCATGTATTGCTCCCAGACATCATCAAGTCGATTCCCATCAGATTTTCATCATGCATGAAGAATTCAAAGTACATAATCTACGATATATTAATGCATATGCAATGATGCGTGGAATGAAGATTGAAGAACTCAAGAAACAATAATTGGCTGATTGCCAACAAATGTAAGCTCATCACAACCACATAATAATGCAAATTTCAATCTTGTATGTCTAAGCCAAAGTGCTCTCTCAGAATAGTTTTAGAAGCCCTTCCAAATCCTTTGGCTACCTCCTTCATGGTTGTGAGTTTTTCGAGTTCAAGCTTTATCTGACCTACTCTGTTTATGACATTGCCGAGTAGGGCAGCAAATTTCAATCTTGTATGTCTAAGCCAAAGTGCTCTCTCAGAATAGTTTTAGAAGCCCTTCCAAATCCTTTGGCTACCTCCTTCATGGTTGTGAGTTTTTCGAGTTCAAGCTTTATCTGACCTACTCTGTTTATGACATTGCCGAGTAGGGCATCAGAGTCACTGTTGGTTGCTGTTCCAGTGCATTTCGCCAGATGAGCCCTCGATGTGTCAAGTTGTTGATATAAACCCAGAAGAAAATCTTTCTGAGCATACAGTCTTTCCTCTGCAATTCTATACTCAAATTCCTGTGATCTCTTCAAGGATTGGAGAACCTGATCGATCTTGTCCTGTAGTTTTACAGATGCAATACGATGGTCTGAAGTAATGAACATAGGTGGCTGAGATTGCTTCTGTAGTTCAAGATCCAGAGGAAGCTCCAAGTCTGTTCTGAAATCAGGAATATCTTCATCATTTGCATCTTCTGGACTCCCTAGCAAAGTTGCAGTTTTTAAGAAGGGGGAAAAATGTAGAGTGAAACGTCAGGTGACTAGCAGAGTGCAGTGGTAGAAAGTAGAGAATTAGTAATATTTTTTAGGTAAATAATAGCTTCTATTTTTAATACTTAAAAATATAAAAAATATAAAGAAATTGTACAACTGATCACCCTCTCAGTCCATTCCTCACTTATCCACTATGACAGTATTAAACAGTACCAAATATTTCCTTTTCTAATTCTAGACATATTTGCCACTTCATGTGCTTTTCCATTCCTTTCTCTTTGCATTCATTATGTTCAGAAAAACCAAAAAGTTGCTGAATATGTTGAACGAATGCTTTTTCCGACCAGATGATGATGTCTGAGCAGTAGATGAGTGCATGATCAAGAAAGTCCATGGTAAACAATGTGCCTTAAGCAAAACCTTTTTTCACCACATTTTTTCTATTATATATACATTGTCTATATTACATGTATCCTAGCTCCTAAATAGCATGTTGCTTAGAAGCAAAGGGGAATTTCAGCTTCTCCATGTCATTTTTAAATTATTAATATGTTGTCATATGTTGGTTTAACATATCTTCACAACATTGATGCAGCATTATGGAAATAATAAGGAATGGAGTTTAGAAGCAAACTAACCAGTTGATACAGGCGAAGCATTTTCCTCTTTCCAGATGTCCTTAAGATCAGCTCCGCATTTAAGCTGATGTACATATCAGATGGTCATACTGCTGGTTGAGAAATTGTATAATGAGACAATATGACTCTTGCAAGGAAGAATTTCATTGAGTTAAATTATATCCATCATAGATTAACCTCACCTTTGTCATTGCTAATCCAATGCGATGCAACAACTTCTTTGCATCTGTTTGTTGTGAGCCATACACAATGCACAAACCCAGGTTTAATATCTTCTCAATGTCATCTCGGGAATCAAGAGACTCACAGGTCATTACAAGCCGTGTAACATATGGAATGAGACTTGTCCTCTTATCACAACGTCTACAGTAGTACTCCACATCTAAACCAATGCTTCCTCCAACAGTCCCAGCCATATATGAACGGAGAGCACAGTCCATGTGTGCAACATGTCCACAAATATAATTGTCACCCACTCTTGCTTCACACTTAACGAAGCTATAACCCCCGTAAGCCCAATTAATAGTCTTACAACAAAGAATACAACAGCAATTACGACAAAAACCAGGTTCACTGCAGCATATATCACAATCCATAGATGCTAGAGAGTAGGTCCTTGCTTGTAATTGGAGATTGCAGATCCTGTTTCTAGCCTTGCAATCCATACTCTCATGATTTGAGTCATATCCAGAATGTTCAGCCATCTCTTCATCAGGAAGCATGCCAAGTGAATTGCTTTCATCTGCATTTCACCACAGAATAAAAAGTTTCTTATGCAATAACTCTATGCTAAAACTTAAATATGATGTAATGTATGTAGAATCAACAGAGGAGCAATTTAACACATGTATAGAAGGAAAAAGGAAAAAAAAAAAAAACATAACCCAGGAGGTGCATACAGGAAATCAACAGTATAAATTGTTTTTAAGTTTTAGCAATTCTAGAGGAAGAAGCATAGCATGATGAAAGAACACTACAAGCATGATGTGGTGGAAAAATCAATGCATTTCATGTGGGAAGTAAAGATCCTCCAATCACCCATATATGGTTTGCTGACACCATAATTTTTGTAGCCCCATTTGTCAAGCAATAGAGGAAATGACTAACAATTGCTTTTTTGATAATTAATGAAAAACAATTTTAAGAAGTTACAATTGTGCAGTGGCATCAGATCTAACAACCAATTTGAAGAAGAAATTGGTTGTTGGAATTGGGACAACAGAGGACAACTTCTTAGGTTGGTCTCAGAGTGAGCAAGAAGTTGAGAAGGATGGAGAGGGTTCGAAGTGACGGAGATTTCCAAGCAGCAATCAGGTGGATATCTGAACTGTTTATCGAAGCAAAGAAAATACTGCTTGAATAGGGAAGGGTTAGAGGTAGGAACCTGCTGAAAATCAGAGAAGATAGGAGGGCGACAATTCTCTTGCCTGAGGAAGCTGTGTTGTGGTTGAAAGGGGTATTGGAGTAATCAACTCTATCAGGATAGTAGGCTGGAAAAATTCCATGGAGATAATAGGGAAGAGGTTTGAAGTTGAGTTGAGAAGGAATGGTAAGGGGAGGAACAGAGGTGGTTAAACTCTGCGGACAAACTACAACAGTATCTCCTATCTTTTGACAGGAGTACAGCCAAGGAAAAAGTATTGAATACAGATGAGCGTATTGTGCAGAATCATCCTAGCCAGTTGGTATAAGATAAAACCAATCTGGAAAAGGTAAATGGAAAACAGAGCTCCTCCCCTCGTGGAGTAGTGGCTGCAAGTTAGACAGGTTTGCAAAGGATGCTGCTTGAGGCTGGGAGAGGTAACTGGGAATGGAGAATGGTAATGACAGCTGAAGAAAAAGTAAAGGATTGAGGAGGAAAATATTGGATACGGTGGTGAAAAAATTAGAAACAGAAGCTGATGCAGTGTTAATGCTGTTAACAGACAGAAAGGTGGTCCTTGACATTGGTGATGAAGAAAGGAGCTTTACAATGATTGAATCAAAAGAGGGCTTGGTCCAGGTTCAGAACTGGACGCCACTGTACAACAAGATGGAGCACACATTTGGAAGCTTCCTGATAAATCTGTTAGGATTTTGATTCCATCTTTGGAGTAAACGAATCTTGGGAACATAGTAAGGCTATTGAGAGGAGTTTTGGAGGAGGTTAATTTTCAAGATTTACACGCTGCAGAGATTAGAATTGCAGGGGTAAAACCAGAACTCCTACCTAGATCAGTTGAAGTTTTTTTATGGTGCCTGGTATCATATCTGGCTGCTATCAGAAGTGGAAGCATCTCTTTGAGGACGAAGAGCCAAGGTTGAAGATGATCCTGATGTGGCAGGCTGTTATATACATGGCACATGAACATTGGTGAGAAAGGGTGTGCAGGGGAAGTCCAAATGGGAAGTTGGAACGTCAGTGGAGGAAAACCAAACAGCAAGCAATCTATTTAAAGAAAGAAATTCACAAGTTTTTCAATTAAAAGAAAAAGAAGAGGGTCGGTTATCTTTTGCTGATGTGGCTAGGGGAGGGTGTGGCTCGACTACAAAACTGATGTGAACTGCTGTCTTTAACCCAACCGGGAGGTAGAGCGGTTTAGCTTCTGGGACAGGTAAAAGAAAAACCGACCCATGTGATATTTTAAGTGATTGCCTAGATCAGGGAAAGGGGCCTGCGCTTATAGACAATAGCCATCGTCTATCTTCTTCTACAAAGGGTGCTGGGTATGATGTGGCTAGGGAATGAGGAAATCCGCTCACCTGCAATCAAAGCCTTGAAAAAGACTTAGAAGAGAACTCACCATTTGGGGTGAGATGTAACTTCTTTAAGAGTTTGGAGAAAATCAACTAGATCGATTATCTCTAAGTCTCTTAAGGGTCTTCTAAGGCTTAAATTCAAGGTGTTCTCAGAAGAGGGGTGAGGAAGGCAGGAGGAAATAGTTGCTTCTTGGTCTTAACGATAGATAAAAAGTCTAGGGAAGGAGGCAGCTAGAGTATACCCCACCAAAAGTCTTACCTACCAAAACTTAATTCTGATCCCATTGTCCACCTTATACCTGATGAAAGGAAAGAAGTTACTGTGGATAGAAACGATACCTTTCCAAGGATTTATTGACTTTACCCTTTTTTTTTCTGGTTGATATGACAAGAAAGAAACTCAAGGATGTTTTAAAACAAAGGCTGTCAAGAGGATGTAGTGTGGCAGAAAATTGTGGGGAAACTGTATTCTTGGTCTTCAGCACAGTTAAATGTTGACAGTTCTTCTGTAGTTCTCTTTTTTATTTATTTTTGGTCAGCTAGTTCTCTTTTGATTTTGGAAGTCTTTGTAATTCCCAATGGGATAGTGGTATGAATGATTTTTGTATTCTCCGTTGTACAGCCACTAGTTGTACATGGTTTGGTTTTTTAATGAATTGATACTTTACTAATCAAAAAATCCAGTTCAAATGGAGATTGCTATCCCAACCATTTGTGCTTGAACCATACTTGCTGGTGATGACAGCTGCCCAAAGAGCATTGGACCCAATGGGGAATCTCCAAAGCCATTTTCCCAAAAGAGAAGCATTCTTTTTTATTAGATGTCCAATTCCCAGACCTCCTACCTCCTTAGGCTTGCACATTTGTTCCCAGCTCATTAAGTGATTTCCTTTCTCCTTCCACCTTCCCAAAGAAAATTTCTTTGAAGTTTCTCAATTAAATTTCTGACTTTGGTCGGGATCTGAAAGATTGAAAGAAAATAAATTGGCAAGTTTGTTAATGAGGCCTTTAAAAGAGTGAGTGATGTAGGACCAGCTCAGTTCTAGTCCTTAGAGAATGTTGAATGGTTTTCTTGATCAGAATTTTATGGTTGTTGATGGCTGTAATGGCTTCTTAAAGGAATAAGAGAGAAAATAGGGAGAGAAAATACCTGGAATCACTCAGAGTGCCTAGAATCACTCTAGGGCATGGGAATCACTCACCATAGTTAGTAGCATAAGCTGAAGAAAACGCAATATATTTCATTCCCTTTGTGTAAAATGTCCATACATATTTATAGACTCTAAACTCATAATAATCCTAGGAGTCAAAATGTTAGACTCAATAATCCTAGTAGGACTCAAACTAAGCTGTCATACCCTATTTCAATTCAAAGAAGACTCAATAACTCTAATCCTATTTATGCAATGACTCTAAAATTTTAAACATAAAAAACTATAACTAGACAAATTAAACCCTATCATTGGACCCCCACAGAAAATTGCAAAATGACAAAAATACCCCTACTATCCAAAAATACAAAAATACATAAAATTTCATAAAATTCCAATTTTGACTCTTTAGCTCTTGCGTCAGTGAGGCTTCCTCCTTTTGATAAATAGCACATCTTCCAAGTGCCTAATTTCTTCTTGCATTTCTCCACCATTGGTCCTAAGAAGCTTAAAGTTTTTAGGTTCCCACCAAGAGGCATCCCTAGATAGGAAATAGGGAGTCTCCACTTTACACTCCAAAATGGCTTTAAAGCTCTCTAGAACTGAGTTTATGGCCACAATACTACTTTTGAAGCAATTAACCCTCATTCCAGTTACCATCTCAAAGTAGTTGATTACCCTTTTGGTATGTAAGATGTTTTTCAAAGATGCTTCCAAGAACAAGCTAATGTCATCAGCAAACTATAAATAAGCAATACATACAGCATCTCTTCCCACTTCAAAACCTTTCACCTGACTTAAACTCTTGGCTTTGTCAAAAAGTTGGCTAAAGATATCCATCACCAAGGTGAAGAGAAAGGGGGGAGAGGGGGCAACCCTGTCTTAGCTCTTGACTTGCCTTCAAATAGCCTTTGGGTTCTCCATCTATCAACACTAAGAACCAAGAAGAACTAATGCAGCCTCTGATCCACCATACCCATCTACTACCAAAGCCTCTTGCCTTTAGGATGTGTAGTATGCAATTCCAATCAACTTTATCATAAGCTTTTTCAAGGTCAAATTTGACAAAAACCCCCAGCTCACCATTTAGTCTTCTATCTTCAAAACATTCTGATTTCTGCAAGAAGAAAGATCTCGATCAAGAGATGAGAGGAGGAGGAGAGAAGAAGAAGAACGAAGAAGAAAGAAGAAGAAGAGAGGAGAGAAGAAAGAGGTGAAATATTTAGACCCAAAAACGTAAACTAGCGGTACCCAGGATTTGTATTTATAAGTTAAGGCGACTACATAAAAAGTAAAAGGTTAAAAAGACAAAAACGCCCCGGTGCCACATAACTGAGATTACATCACTCCCCCTCAAGTTGGGGCGTAGATATCAATCATCCCCAACTTGTCACAAAGATTATAGTGCTGCATGGAATTTAATCCTTTAGTAAGGATGTCTGCCAGTTGTTCCTCAGAGCTGATGTAGGGAGTGCAAACTTCTCATTTTTCCAAATTTTCCCTGATGAAGTGTTCGTCAACCTCTATATGTTTAGTTCTACATGGAGAACAGAGTTGGTTGAAATGTTAATAGCAGCCTTATTGTCACAGTATAATGACATAGGATCACTGAGAGGAAAGCCCAATTCACCCAAGAGATTCTTTATCCATAGAAGTTCTGCCACACCATGAGACATGGCTCTATATTCAGCTTTTGCACTTGATCTGGCCACCACACTTTGTTTCTTACTCTTTCTTACTCCTCTAAGTAACCAAGTTTCCCCCAACAAAAGCACAATAGCCACTGGTAGATTTTCTATCATCCACATAACCAGTCCAATCTGCATTAGTGTAAACCTCAACTCTCATATGC